GACTCTGACCTCTGCTTACCTCTCCAACCTACCCTGCAAGAGGACGGGGAGAAGGCAATTGGGGAAACTTCAACTTACATCTAATGAAGATGTAGAGGCTTCAACCAGCGTGATGTCACAAGGCAAGAAGAGTGATATTTTTAAAAAAAAAATCTAGGTTTTTGAGACGCACTGCAAAAAACATCACAGTCTCTCCAATTTGGTGTTAAAACAAAGAAACGAGCCAAGAGTAGCAAAACTGTAGTTATTGCTCCCTCTGTAGTTCTCCTGACGAACTAGAAGGTGATCTCATCATTTAGGGAAATTATCAGCACCAGGGAAGGCCAGAATATCAGACTCCTGGAAAACTCTTGAATCATAGAAGCAAGATCTTGGACACTTCTTAGAACGAAAATCCTTGGAACTGGAATCTAGGATTCCAGTTGGAGAACTATTCAGGTTTATTTTCAAAGTTTAGAGGTTTTTCAGGAGATTTGTTTTGTTTTGTTTTGGAATTTTGGGTTTTGGCTGTTGTTTTTAGTGCAAGTAGAAAGGGATGTCCTAAATTAATTTGGCCATGGTGGGGGACATCATGGGGTGCAGAGCTCCAATATGCTGGAAGTAACTACATTCAGTATAAATTCAGAGATTGAAGGGAAGATATTCTACCTTCCCCATGGACAGCAGACAATACCACCCACTTTCAAATTACTCCAAGACTGGACCCCAACCTACAATCACACCAACTTCCCATTTCAGGCCCTAATTTTTGTGTCACTTTGCTCCTTCTCTTATTACTGACAGTAACCATGTTGTTGTTGTTGTTATGTGCCGTCGAGTCGCTTGCAACTCACAGCGACCCTATGTACAACAGCCCTAAACTCTGCTTTGTCCTGTGCCAATCGCACTGTCTCCGACACTCCCATCCCAATTTTCCCAATCACTGAATCAATCCACCTCATAGAGGGCCTTCCTCTCCTGCACTGTCCCTCCACCCTCCCAAGCATGACGTCCCTCTCCAAGGACCGGTCTCTCCTCACAGCAAGTCCAAAGTATGTTAGACGGAGCCTCAGAGTCCTTGCCTCCAAGGAGTCACCCGGTTTAACCCTTTCCAGGACAAACCTATTTGTTTTCCTAGCAGTCCATGGTACACTCAATACTCTTCTCCAGCACCACAGCTCAAAGGCATAAATTCTCCTTCTATCCTCCTTGGTCATTGTCCAACTCTCTGATGCATAACAAGTGATTGCAAAGACCATAGCCTGTATCAGACGCACCTTAGTCTCCAAAGAGACACCACTGCTCTTCAGCACTTTGGAGAGGTCCCTAACAGCAGACTTTCCCATGGCAATGCGCCTTTTAATTTCCTGGCTGCTGGTGCCAAGACTGTTGACTATGGAGGCAAGCAAACCAAAGCTGTGTACAATCTCAATTTCTTCACCATCCATCCTGATGCTGCCAATTGGTCCAGTGGTGAGAATCTTTGTCTTCTTGGCATTGAGCCTCAATCCATATTGGAGGCTGCAGTCCTTGACCTTCTGCAGCAAGCACTTCAGGTCCTCCTCAGTTTCAGCAAGCAGGGTTGTATAATCATAGGATGGAGGAATTTAGGACTGGCAGTTTAGAACTGAAAGGGAGCCACTTTTAGGGCTTCCAATGTGGGAGTCAGGATTTGAATCTAAGTCTGTTGATCTATTAGAGCCTTTACAAATTGCTTAGGCTAAGACAATAGCTATTAGCCATGTTTGGCTGTTGAACACTTGATATGGAGCTAGCAGGAATGATGAATTTCATTTTTTCCAGTTTAATTTTAAACCTGAAAATTTATGCTCAACAAAGTCTTGGGAAAACTTTAGTATACATTTTTAGCAGCTAGGAAATGTGATTCTCCTTTTTACAACTGTAAATGGTATGAAATCTATCTATAGATTTTATGCCATTTCCAAATAATCTAAATACATATCTATCATTTTCTACCTAAATTTAGATATCTTAGTAGAGCTATAGACATGAAATATGTTCCAGATTTTGAAGAGTTAGTATTTTTAAAAAAGAATGTAAAGTATCTTCAATAAATTTTTATATTAAGGAGTTGCACTGCCAACCCAAAGGCATGTAGTTTAAATCAACCAGCTACTCTATGGGAGAAAGATGGGCAATCTCTTCCTATTGCCTCTGAACACCTGCTGGAGGGTCAGCTATGCGTTGGTTCAGGCTTGACAGTAAACAATAATGTGAGGTTGAAATTATAGTATTCTTAATATATTGACTTAAATAAAATATTATTAAAATAAGCAAATGTCTATAGAATGGTTAGCAGGGTTGGAGGGTAGTGGGGAGCAAGGAATCTTTGCTTAAGAATCACTGAGATTCTGTTAGTGGTGGTAGAATAATTTAGAAAAACATAATGGTGATGACCGCACTACATGATGAGAAAAATTAATGTCATTGAATTGTTGTTGTTATGTGTCATCAAGTGGCTTGCGACTCATAGTGACCCTATATACAACAGCTCTGAACCCTGCTCTACCTTGAGCCAACCTCATTGTTTCTGACACACCTACACCAATTACCTCAGTCACTGAGTCAATCCATCTCATCCTGAATCTTCCCTTCTTGTGCTGTCCCTCCACCCTTCCAAGCATGATATCCCTCTCTAAGGACTGGTCCCTTTTTACAGCATGTCCAAAGTATGTCAGACAAAACTTCAGAATTCTTGCCTCCAAGGAGCAGCCTAGTTTCATCCTCTCCAGGACAAACCTGCTTGTTCTCCTAGCAGTCTATGGTATATTCAATACTCTTCTCTAGCACCAAAGCTCAAAAGCATCAATTCTCCTTCCATCATCCCTAGTCATTGTCCAGCTTCCTGATGCATAGCAAGTAACTGCACAGACCATGTCACAATAAACCGTTATATAATTAAAATGTTTACCTATCCTTTTTACTTTTTTTGTGTGTCCACTAAAAAACTTATTACATGTGTGGCTCACAGGAGTTCCTTGTTGGCACAAAGCTTAAGCACGTGACTACTAACTGAAAGCTTGGCAGTTCAAACCACCAGAAGCACCTCAGAAGAAAGGTCTGGTGATCTGCTTCCAAAAGGCCACATTCTTCATTGAATTTCACTTCTAGAAGCAGTGGAATCAGTGTATGTTTTTCTTTGCATATTCTCGACACCAAAATGCATTTGTCTTAAAAGGCACAGCTTTAGGGAGCTCTGGTAGCCTAGTGGCAAGAAGCTGTGCTGCAATCCTGAAGGCACATGGTTCAACTTCACCAGATGCTCTGCTGGAGAAAGAGGGGCAATCTTCTCCTGTGCCAGTTTGATCCAATTTGAGGGTACACAACAAGAAGGGGAGAGGTGGAAATGCACAGCTGTGAAAACCTTGTGGCATGTAGTTCTACTCTGCAACATAAAAGTCACCATGAGCCAAAATAGATTCCATGGCAACTGATCTTATGTGACTCCTATTCTATCTCTATTGAACAGTGCAGGGCCAGAAAGTCTGTAAAGTGAACAAAGGCTTCAAACGCAGACAGGCCTGATCTGAATCCCAATCGATACACTGTACAGCTAGCTGTACCTTTGAGCTCTCCACTTTGGGCACCATCTGCCTTATCTGTGAAATGCAGATAATGGTACTCACCATACTAGGTGTATGTTGAGGATCCAGTGGGATAAATGCAATGTACACTGTATTACGTACTGTGCCTGGTAGAAGGTAAGTGCTCTCTAAATGTTAGCTATCATTGTTCTTTTCATTGTGACTTTCTGGGACTTTCAGGCAGAGTTGTAACTGTGACTCAGATACATCCAGTCAGCATATCACCACTTCAAAGCATATCCTGACCATTCTCCCTTTTCAAGAAACAGGCCCACCAGTTGTCTTGACAAAAGAAGGAGCCTAAATCCATTCCATTTACATGTGGGCTGAACTGAACAACCTGTTTCTACTAAATAGAATAGAGCAGAAGTAACAGCACGTATAGGGAAGTTCTGGAGGCTTAATGGTAAGCAGTTGCGCTATTAACCCAAAGGCACTCAATTTGAATCCACTAGCTACTCCAGGGGGAAAAGATAGGCAATCCCTTCTTGTGAGAGTTACAGCCTCTGGAAACCCACTGACAGGTTAACTATGAGTCAGTTCCTAGCCGACAGTACAGAACAAAACAGCATGTGGCTTCATCGAAGCCTCCTGCAAACAGCCATGTGATTGAGGCTTTTTGAAAGTAGATCTTCCAACACTAATCAAGCCTTCAGATGACTGCATGACCAACTAATATATTGACTACACTTAATGAAAGATCTCAAAACAAGAATAACCTAGCTTAATCCTTCTAGAATTACTGGCCAATGGGAATTGAAGATCTAATGTTTGCTGTTTGAAGCTACTATGTTTTGGGGCAATACATAGAAGCAGAGATGGTTGAGACTTGATCTCACATACTTTGGGGATGTTTTCAGGAAGGACCAAGCCTGGAGACATCATGCTTAGGGAAGTAGAGGGTCAGTGAATCAGAAGAAGATCCCGATGGGATGGAGTGACATCATGACTGCCACAGTGGGCTCAAGGTGAGCAGAGATTGTGAGGGTACAGCAGGACTGGGCCACTGAGAGTTGGAGACGACTCCACAGCACCTAACAACTTCACATGATGGAGCTCCTGAGTGATACAAACAGCTAACCAGCTTGGCTGCTAACCAAAATGTTGGCAACTTGAGCACATTCAGAAGCACCTTAGAAGAGAGGCCTAATGATCTACTTTTAAGAAACTTAAATGTTGAAAACCCAATGGGGTGAAATTCCACTGCAACATATGAGAGGTCACCGTGAATTGGAATGGACTTGACAGCTACTGTTGGTTGGTTATGTGACAGGGCAATAGATTACAAACAGACTCTCTTTCTGGCCCTGTGGTTAAGGCCTACTCTTCTCCAAAGATAGGAGCCCATCCCAAGTCTAGTCTACCCTGACACTGCAGGGCACGAAGGCCAAGGCACAAACCATTGACACTTGGTCCGGCTGCCTGTGTATTCACAGGCTGTTTATTCATCCAAGAGGAAGGAGGAAAGAGAAGAGAAAACAAAAACATATACCCCTAGGTGGTGGGGCTAAAGGGGGGAAATGAACAGAAAGGCTCCTCCTATATCTCTTCCTGCTGACCCCAGGGGACCCCAGCTTCAAAGGGGCCTTCTGGGGATGGCTTAGGGGCCTCTGGGGGGTCTGGCAGCTGTTGGCTGGGGTCGGATCCCCCCACGAGGGCAGGTCCCAGGTTCGGAATGGCTTCTGTATACACAAAATATCTCTCTGCAAAAGGCACTGTTGGGGAGGGAGGCAGCAGGGAGGCTGCCCCATCACAGGTCAGAAGACAGGGACCACTGTGTCCTGGGTCTGGATCCGGGTCCCTGAGACCATCCAACCCTGCCTCCCTCAGGCTGGGTCTTTGCGGCTCATTCCTCTCCTCTCCTTTCTCTCAGCCCAGCAGTGAGCAGGCAGTCGGTGGAGGGCCAGGTCCGGCTCTGTGGTGGTCACTCCTCAAAGCTGGTGCAACTGGTGACTTCTAGGCCAAGAGCCCCAGGCGGGTGACTTTGGCCGAGAGGAAGGAGTGAATGATGAAGACCATGGTTTTGGGACAGGAGTGCAGGTCCAGCTGCTGTAGGGTGGACAGAAAGGAGGTCAGGACCACTGTCCAGCCTAGCCTTGAGGAAAGCATGGCCTCCCCTTCCCACAGCATGGAGTTCACCCTTCACTCACAATCTCGCCCTCTGCACCCCCAAAGTCCAGGAAAAGGAGGCTGGTGCCATCATCCGAGGACATCTGCAGTTTCTCAAAGGGTTGCCGGAGCAGCACCACTCGGGCCACACCTGGTTCAGCTGCCCATAGCGTGAAGCCCTTGTCGATGTGCACAGAGAGGCTGCAGGGACGGCCGTTCCACGTGCAGGCTGCGGAGAGGGCACAGGGGCATAGGCACCAGCTGGCACGGAGAACTCAGGTCCAAGCCCCAACCGCCCCATCAGCAGCTCCACAAAGTGAAGATTTGGGAGGGATGGGAGACTCACTGCCTGTCATGGCTTCTGCACACACAACCAACACAACATCAGGACTCCAAAAAGGAGGAGCCTGAAAATCTGCCAAGGACTCGGGTCTGCTCCCTCTACAGGTGCCAGCACACACACCAAGCCTGGCCCATGGAATTGCCAGCTTTAGCAAATAAAAATTCAAGATGCACAGTTAAATTTGAATTTCAGATAAATAATAGATAATTTAGAAATATTTATACCAAAACCAAAATTGGCTGTTGATTTGAAATTCAAATTTTACTGGTGTCCTATATTTCTTCTGGCAACATTACACCACCAATGGCAATTTCTAACATCCTAAGCCATCAAATCATAGATCCGAGGAAGGGGGGAAATCACAGGGAAGAAAAGCACCAGAACATGGGACCTTGAGTGACCCCAAATCTCACCTTCCATCCCCCTTCCTGAATGTCCTAAAGAAAGAAGTTTGCAAGTTTCTAAGAATGAGGGGCTCTTATCTAAAAAGGTACTCCTAGATCCCCCCTCAGCCTACCTGTAGACACCTCCTGTACCCCCTCTGCGGCCCGGTGACAGCCATCCACCAACTGGCGGGTCCAGGCAGCCAGCTCCTGTGGTGACTCCACGCTGAACAGATGAGTGTCCACACCGTGCCGTGTGCCCGTGCGCAGGACAAAAGAGAGCTCTGTGTCATAGGGCACAGAGCCTTTGGAGGGGCCAGAGTGCACCAGCCTGGGGGCAGGGGCAGAGGGTTAGGTATGAGGCCTCGGGCACGGAGTTAGGGAGACACAGGTAGGAGGGTGACCTGGGGAAGGACCTCATGAATGTTTCACTTCTCTGTGTTTTTTTATTTGATGGGGGCAGTCTGATTTACTCACCACTGCCTTTCTAGTAACTGACTAATACTTGGCATCTAGTAGGTGCTCAATAAATACCATGGACAGAATTAATGGGTCATTTGCTTAAGTACGGGATCCATGACCTGCTTCTCTGTAGCAGCCAGCAGATTTGGCATGTTTGAGGCCCAAAGTCTAGTCCAGGATGGGACACATAGGTGACAAAGGCCCTAGTTCCTGCAGAATAGACCTTCATTTGCTGCATGGCCTTGGGAAGCTCACCTCTGGGCAGCAGAATTCTGGACCTTCGTCAGCTCTCTTTGCTTTGTTTCCCTCATCCCACACACCTTCCCTTTTGTAACCTCAGCTACACCTTAAGGTTACTGTATCCACTCTCTAGCCCTGAAGAACAAACTCCTGTGTCCCCCAGCTTCCTATCCAAGCCCAAATTCCAATTGTCCCCTCCATACTGTAGACTCCACTCAGCATCTTGCTGCCGCCCTGTCCTTCTGTCCTTCCTCACCAGTCCCACACAGGCACAAGCTTCAAATCTCTCATACACCTCCACCCTGATGTCTCCCTCACCTTCTTCATCTGACAGGCAGTAAGACCTGTGAATTTTACCACTTGTGTTTTCCAAAGCAAATGCAGCCCTGCTTCCCCATCTGTTGCCTCTAATCACCCCTACCTTCCCCAGCTGTCTACATGACTACAGCAGCCTCCCAGCACACTCACCACACAGCAAGCAGACACAGAGGGACTCTTTTAAAACATGACCAGCCACCTCGCTCCCCAGCTTAAATTCTTCAATTCTTCACCATGACTCTTAAGATAAAGTTGATGTCGCTGTGTACAGTCGAGTCAGAACTAACTCAGAGCTGACCTTCCAGCAGGTTTTCAGGGACAGTAAATCACATGAGAGGCAATTGCCCATCCTTCTTCTGCAGAGCAGCTTGCAGATTTGAATTGTGTGCCTTTGGGATTACAGCATAGCTTCTTACCACCAGGCCACTGGAGTTCCCTAGCACTCCTTAACTAGGAAGTCAAAGCCCTGCATGATTAGGCTGCTGTCAACTCTCTGTCTCATTTCCCTCCAGCTCTTACATGGATTCTACATATGGTAATACCACACACAGAGTGATATGAACATGCTACAGCCCTTTATGCCTTAATGCCTTATTTTTTTCTCTCTAATATGCTCTTTTAATATTTCTTAAAACTGCTCCCCTATCAAGGGCCAGTTCAAGCGTCACTTCCTCCCTGAAGCCTTGCCCAGCCAAGCCAAGCAGAAGTAAATGATTCCTAAACCCTACATCTTTATGGCTCTTTCTGGGTCCAGCTCCTCCACCAGACTGGGGTCTCTCTGAAGACAGAGGCTTCTGGGGTAAGTTCTCTGTCCTTTAAACAATGCAATACAAAGCTGGGCATGGGTTGGTATCAATGAATTAACGGAGAATAGACCTTCACATCACACGTTCATTTTATAGATGATGAACTCTAGGCCTAGACAAGAAGGGACTTGGCCCAGGTCACCTGAGAAATAAATCAGGGGCAAAATGGGTCTGGAGTCCTCAGCTTCTGGGGTGTGCCTAGAGCATTCCCCAACCAACTCAGAGTAAGATCCCATCTTCCCTGTGGATACCTGGTGGCAATAAGTGGAGCAGTACGGGCTGGCCGGCTCAGGGCCTCCCGAGTCTGAGGGAGGCTGGAGTAGAGAAGCAGCTCCTTGTCAGTCAGCAGGGCCAGGGTGGGTGCTGTGGTCCCACTAGACAGCTGAAGGAGAAGTAGCAATGAGTAAAAGAGAAGAGGGGGAGAGGTCAGAGTGTCAGGGCAGGGAGGAAAGGGGGAGATAGGGCCCCAGACCCAGCAGGCACCTGTTCAGTCAGCCAGCCGATCTGCTTAATATCCTGGCTCCCCGCTGTGCTGGTGGCTGCCAGCAGTGCCTGCAGCTCATCCTTCACCCAGGGCATCAGAGTGTTGATCTGAGCTTGGATGGCAGCAGCCCATGACTGGGCACTGGCTTCATCCTTGGCCCTCAGGAGGAACGTCTCTTGGCCATCAGCTGAGCAGATCTCCAGATACCTGGAGATGAAAAAAATGGGGTGAAAAGATGGACCTCCCCGCTGACCTGCCGCTGCCCAGTTCTCGAATCTAGCCCGAGAAATCTCACCCCACCCCTAAGCCAGGAGAAATCGTAAGGACATCTATGAGACAACCAGTCAGCAGCTACACTCATAGCCACTTGGGGACGAGAAACTATAGCACACACACACATTCATACACACACAGACACTCTATGTATTAGATGGAGTCAAAATGACTCTTATATGATCATTCAAACTCTTGGCCTTTATTCCTGATATCTAAGGAGGATTCTCTTGCTGGGCCAGCTCCAGATTCCCCTTTGTTGCCCGGAACTAAAATAATGCACTAATCTAGGAGTGGTAAACAAAAACCAACGTGGTTTGAGAGGTCCAGTTGGTCTACACAATAAAGAGCTGGGGAAATGGAGCGAGGAGAAGGCTCCCAGACACGCATGGCAGAAGACTTTGAGGAAGTGCCAAGAGATGCAGTGACAGGGAGAGTTGATTGGCACAACATTTCGTGGACATTAAGCATTCACTTCCATTTAATATTTTCGTAAGAGACAAAATATGACAGAGGTTAATCACACAACACTCATTCCAAGAGTTTCACTTTCACTTGCCTCTGCTACAGAACTAGAAAGCAAAATACTTCAGTTCCCAGATGCTTTTGCAGCCAGAGCTGGTCTTGTGACCCAGTTCTGACTAATAAAACAGAGAAGTCCCTTTTCTATGGACAGGGAAGATCACTTTGCAAATAAAAATCTTTCCTAGGATAGTAGTAGTTGTTGTTGTTGTTAGATACCATCAAGTAAATTACCATTGACAGTGATTCTGTGAATGACAGATTGAAACTTTCCCCTATCTCGTGCCATCTTCATGATTTCCGACATGTTCAAGTCCATTGTCACAGTCACTGTATCAATTCATCTTGTTGAGGGTCTTCCTCTACTTCACTGATCCTCCACCTTTCCCAGCATGAGATCTCTCTGTAAGAACTGGCTCCCTCTGACAATATGTCCAACATATATAAGACAGAGTTTTACCAGCCTTGTCTCTAAGGAGTATTCACTTCTCCAAAACAGATTTATTTGTTCTTTTGGCAGTCTGTGAGGTCTTCAGTACTCTTCTCTAACACACTATACAAAGGCATCAAGTCTTCTGACATCCATATCCATCGTCTGACTTACAAATGCACAGAAAGCAAGAAAAGACTGTGGTTTGGAGCAGGCACACCTTAGTCTTGAAACTGATATCCTTGCTCCTTAGTACTTAGAGAAGTCTTTGACAGTAGATTGTGCCCAGTGCAATATATCTTTTAATTTCTTTTTTTAAATTTCTTTACTGCTGTTAATTTTGGTGTTGGTTGTGGATCCAAATTATTGTAATTGTTATTGTATGCCACTGAATCAGAACCAAGTCACAGCTGACCCTCCAGTGGGTTTTCAGAGGCAGTTAATCACACAGGAGGGGATTGCTGGTCCTTCTCCCGCAGAGCTGCTGGTGGATTCAAACCGTGTGTCTTTGGGATTGCAGCTCAATTCTTACATCTAGGCCATCTACTGTAGTTAGTTACTAAGCGTAGTTAATAGTTATCAACAAATATTGTTGTTGTTGTTGTTGTTGTTGTTGTTATGTGCCATCAAGCTGCCTGTGACTCATAATGACCCTCTGAACCAGTTTCACTGATTCCAACACATCTAATCCTGTTGCCTTAATTATTGTGTAAATCCATCTCATCCAGGGTCTTCCTCTCCTGCACTGTTCCTTCACCCTTCCATGCCCAGAGCATGTGAGAGGGAGCTTCAAAATCCTTGCCTCCAAGGAGAAATTTTATTCCATCCTCTCCAAGAAAGAACTATTTGTTCTCCTGGCAGTTCATGATATGTTCAGTACTCTTCTCCAGCACCACAACTCAAAGGCATCAGTTCTGTCATCCTTAGTCTTTGTCCAGCTCTCTGATGCATAGCAAGTAATTGCAAATACCATGGCTTGGGTCAAGTGCACCTTAGTCTCTAGACTGACATCATTGCTCATTAGCATTTTGGAAAGGTACTTGACAGCAGACTCCCCCAGTGTAATTCATCTTTTGATTTCCTGACTCCTGGTGCCAAGAATGTGGAGTCAAGCATGCTGAAATTGTTAACAACCTCGATCTCTAATGGTATTTAGTCACCAAAAATGGCCTGTGTCAAATCCATCTCTTCCTGTATGCATGATCACTTTTCTCATCAAGAGATGGGAACTCTTTCCTTTCTCCTTTAAACTGGATTGGCCTCGTGTATTGCTTTAACAAGCATAATGTGGCAGAAGTGACTTTCTATGATGTTCAAACTCCTATCAATGTTCAGAAAGGCCAATCACTAGACAAAGCTACCATGTTGCAAAAACAAAGGGAACCTTTAGTGAGAGGAACTGACACAATAGCTACAACAATGGATTCAAACATGCCAACAATCATGTGGATGGCCCAACACTGGGCAACGTTGCATTCCATTGTGCAAAAGGTCATCATGAGTCAGAGCTAACTCAAGGGCAACAAGATAAGAAGTCCAGCTGCCCTGAGGTCACTATGCCAGAAAGAAGCACAAGTGATCCCAGTGGAAAGGCCACATGGACAGAGGAATGGACAGCCAGTCCCTAGCTGTCCCAACCATCCTGGCTGAGATTCCTCACAAGTCAGTGAAGCAGTCATTTCGGACATCCAGCTCCAGCACATGCCACGTAGAACAGAACCAGCTAGCTGACCCAGGAAGAAAGCAGAACTGAGGGATAACAGTTCTTTTTCTCTGGCACAAAATTTTAGGATAGCTTATCATGCAGCAATAGGTAATCAGAATATTCAGCAGAAAGTTCCTTAGCCTCTTGTGTCCCTGACAGGAATATGGATTCAGCGTTTGGAGGAACACCTGCTCTCCTGTCCCTGTGAAGAAGAAAATCTGCACAGAGAAGAGGAAGCTGGAAGACTTGTTCCTTGATGGTTCTGGGAGCAACTCTAAGCCTAGAGAGATGACTCCTGGACTTATTTTTGTCCCCCTGTACTTTTAAGCATAAAGCAAAATAAATTTCTCATTTAATTAAGCCATTGCTTGTTGGGGTTTCTGATACTTGAAGTCCTAATCAACACCAATAATGAATGAAAGTTTTAGATATTTTCCATATATTTTGGCTGTCAGTCTATGTTCCTTTGATTGGATATTGTGCTGCCAGAAAGCCATGCAGAATCTCAGTTATACTACAGTTACATATAGTTATACATAGTATGGACATACTTAGATATGCATATCCACACATGTATATATTGCTATGTACACATAGAAGTATACAAACATATTCACACAGAATCTACACTCATACATGTATATATTCAGATACACAAACATTGTGTTGACATGCCATTTACATGTGCATGCATAGAGAAATAAATATCTGCACATACTTCAGCAGATATCTAGAATCAAGCTAGGAACATGATTTAATCTAATGCTCTACAAGTCTCAGAAAGGACTAATACCCACCTCACCTTCTCCCAATACAAATGATCTGTTCAGTTCTGCTTCTATAAGTAACCTAGTCCATGAATCACTAATCCATGTCTCATGTGGGCAGACTGGAGTGGGACATTAAATAGGGTCATCAGGTTTGGATGCTGGACAATGCCAGTTCATAAAGGGGCATAAGAAATGCTTGTTGCATGACTGACATTATGGGAATGATGGTCTGGTCTGTTTATCTGTTCTACTGAAAAGCTCACATCTGAGGGAGACCGCAGTCTGGAGAGGCACCCTGCAGTCCACTCTTGGTTCTCCTTCCATTAGTCCCTTTTTCCCCCTCTTTAAACTTCTAATTCCCTACTGTGAAATAAGGTTGTCAAACTCAGTGGTCCTGTAATGTTTCTTTCTGCTCTGACTAAGGTTCTGAGATATGTGGTAACGTGGATCAGGGTCTATGAAAGTTACCATTCCTCATATTGGTCCTTAACAGTTCACTCAGAATAAGGTTAACACGACCTAACATTTATTGGAGAGTCTCAGGGTGTGATCTTTGGAAAGTCTATTCCTAAGCCCTTTTCTGAGGGGGAGTGTGTGTGTGAGTTTGTGTCCAAAGGAAAGTTGTCCATCAAATGCTTAATAATTTGTGCCCCTAAGAACTGCATTGGCTTATCCATTTGCAATACAGAAAGGTCTTTCCTTGGGCCTTACTATTTAATTCCAGGGTATCTGATTGTCTAAGTTGCTCCCCACCCCTGCCTCCACCCCAGCCTTACCTGGGCTCTGGGTCAGTTGGGGTGCACCTCTTTGAGACATATGCCATTTTCAAGGACACGTGTTTGGCATCACTGAGGTTCCGGAGTGGGGGACCAGGGGAGGAAGGCTGCCGCTGAAGAGGTGAGGCAGGAGGCGAGTCCCAGCCAACCGAAGTCCCACCAACAGAATTCTTGAAATATGGTGAGATTTCTTTCATGTACTTGACTGCTCGGGAGAGAGTTCAGCAGTTACCACTATGACAAGGACTCCCACACAACACACATGACAACTGTGTAGTCATGAAGTGTTTATGTCTACCAGAACTCTCACACACTGCTGGGGGGACTGGAAAATGGTTCAGCCATTGTGAAAAACAACATGGTGGCTCTTTGAAATAATTTGAAAAAATAATATGCTATGTAAACTTTCATTTCATTTAAAACATACATTTTTAAAAATGGAAAACTTTCTTTAAAAATTGGACTTAGAAATAATATTTTATGCCTCGATCCTACCACTGGGAATGTATTCCAAAGAAATAAGAGTTGAGACACATTCATGTTCTTTGCAGTATTATTTATAATAGCAAATATATAGAAACAACTTAAATGTTTATGAGCTGATGAATGGATAAACTATGGGGGACACACACACAGAGTAATACTGTAACATTAAAGAGCACTGAAGAATTTGTGAAACAATTCATGGTATGGATAAACCTGGAGGACATGATGCCGAGTGAAATTACTCAGTCCCAAAAGGGACACACAGAAAGTAACATGATTGGATGATTTGCACAGATGAGAAGGGGAAAGAAAAGAAGAATGAAAATTAGTAATGAGATAAAAGACATATTAAGTTGGGTGAAGGGAAAGACTATATCAATTAAGGAATGATTAGCATATAATCACTAAAGAAAAAGAAGGCACAAAGAGGTCTGCAAGAATGACAGACAACAATTGTACACACACAATCTTACCAGTAATCTCAAATATCACCTCAGCCGATACATAGGCAGACAGATATGGGCAAGTGAAAGTGACTACACCCCTGACCAGACATGGATTTTGCCAATGATATTTCTACATGTGTATCGTATGTGCTGCAAACATATCCATATATATATATATATACATATATATATACATATATATACACATATATATATATATCTCCAACAGGGACAAAGTTACATTTCTTTCTTAACCATAACCAAACACCCTGTGGGAAGAAATCAATGGTTATGGGCCTCAAGCACACATCAAGGCCAACTGGCATAACATAGCCCACAAAGACAGTGTTAAACCCTATAAGGGTGAAAGGTGACGATGGTCTTCCCACACAAACACTTCCCCTTTTGCAACTAGGGTCTTAAAAGCTTGCAATTTGATGGGCAGAAGGAGGAAGTAAAGGAATTAGGAATGATCCAGTGGAGACTTGAAAAAATAGGGTGATAGTGGGCATAGATCATTTGCAATTAATTTTATAAAATACAATGCATGGGAATGATTGTATGAAACATAATGTGAATAAAAGAATGTGTGAAACACAATGTACATGAATGAAACACAATGTATACGAATTTTTTACGCAAACCAGTATAAAATAAAAAGCCAAGTTGGTCATCCTCACCAACAACTGTCCAGCCTTGAGGAAATCTGAAATTGAATACTACACCATGCTGGCCAAAACTGGTGTCCATCACTACAGTGGCAATAATATTGAACTGGGCACAGCACGCGGAAAATACTACATAGTATGCACGTTTGCTATCATTGATCCCGGTGATTCTGATATCATTAGAAGCATGCCAGAACAGACTGGAGAAAAAGAAATCATGTCATATTTTTCTTCAATAACAGTGGCCAGAATTTGTTAAAAAAGAAAAAGAAAAGTGGGGGTGGGGAAAGAAAACCATACACAACAAAAAGGTGGATTTTATTTAAAAAAAAAAAAAAGGTAAGGGAGCTCTGGTGTCTTAGTGGCAAGAACCTGTGCTCCAATTCTGAAGGCACGCAGTTTGAATCCACCAGATGCTCTGCTGGAGAAGGAGGGGCAATCTCCTCCTGTGCCAGTCAGATCCAATATGATAGTACACAACAATTAAAAAAAAAGAAAGCTCATGTCAATATTGTCCTTAAAGCTCAAATCTCTGGTGCAGTGTAGTAGAATATACTAGATGCCAACCAATATCCATTCTTTCACTTTTTCCCTGATTTAGAGAAGCATAGAGACCTGGAGGAAGGAAACATTTCCCAGACTCCTTTGCAGTTAGGTATGGCTACTTAAAAAAATTCTAATCAAGCAAGTATAAGTGTAGTTCAGACCTTCCTTTCTTCCAGGCTTCTCAAATGCTAGGATAAGGAATTGGTCCTTAAGCAATAGTGACCTTTTGACCACAAGGATTTGAGTCCATGTACTATTATGGGTTGGAAGGAGAAGTGGCATCCACTTCCATAATAGCTTGCCTCCGGAAACCCTATGAACCTGGAGAGAGGATGAAACGTACCCAAGCGTCAAGGACTCTCCTTCATAAGGTCGCTTTGAGTCGCCTGCAACTCGACGACACTTAACTACAGCAAGAAAAACTATTATGGGAAAAGGATGGGCAATCCCCTCCTGTGCGATAAACTGTCTCTGAAAACCTAGAGGGTCATCTATGGGTCGACATTACATAACAACAACAACTGTTAAGACAGGAAGCAAACAGATGGACAGATGTGGGTCTTGGCTGATATCATGAACCTCTGAATTAGTCTGCCTCTGTGTCATGCTGCCGCAGGGCTTTTTATTCTGGTGGATAATACATTTTCTTCCATGTTTCAACTGGGTTTCTGCAACCTGCAACCAAAAGCACCCTATTACTACTATACCTTTATGCAGTACAAGGGCACCACCTACAATGATTTTAAAGGCAAGTGAACCTTTGACCCAAAAATAGATCTTCAAGAAAGCATGATTCAGATAGATCCCCATTCGTGCAACTGATAGAATCTTCCTGCTAAAAGTGTCCATTCCCTACCTCTGATCAAACCTCTACTCTAGTTCCCAAGCACCTTCCATCCTAGGACTAGTGTCCTACCCGCCTCTCTGGCTTCAATTCCTACCACGCTCTAGTTCAATCACACCAGCCTACCCAGAGGTCTCAGAAGCTATCTGCACTTCCCAATCTCCACACCATTGCAGATACTATTCCTTCTGCATGGATCATCCTTTTATGTACAGTTTTGGGTCAGCTAGTCTTGGATTTGAGTCCCAGATCTAGAATTTTCTACTTGTATGACCAAGAACAAAGCAATTCACCTCTCTGCGTCTCAGTCCATTGCTTGATAAGAGAACATCTCACTCAGAGTGACGTTGCAGTTAACACATAGCTGGCCCTTAAGGAATATGAGTTTCTTACTTCTCAATCTCCCCTGTCCACACTTCTTAGAATTCAGCTGTGATTGAGGGAGCTCTGGTGGCCTAGTGGCAATAAACGGCACTGTAATCCCAGAGGTGCGTGGTTAGAATCCATCAGATGCCCTGCTGGAAAAGGAGGGACAATCTCCTCCTGTATCAGTCAGATCTGATTTGACTATACATACACAAAAAAATAATAACATTTAAAAAACAAAAAAAAATAATTCAGCTATTATTGTGTATATCCAAGGCTCCTAGAGGATAGAAACTAGGCTTGATTTGAACCTAGAGTTAACATTCAGTGAATGGAGAAATATCAGAGTAGGATAGCAAGAAGATGCCACAACATAGGAGGCCCTGGCTGGGCTCAAATAATATTCCCGCTAGGAAGACTTCCCTCACCTGTGTAGTCCTCTGGGTCCCATTCTCTTGTGATTTATTGTCTCTGAGTTTGTGTCCCCCATGAGGCAGTGAGCACTGTGAAGGCAGGGACCTCATCTGACTCATCATTATGTCCCCAGAATCCAGAAGGTGCCTCGTATACTACAGGTTCAGCAAATAAACAGCCGTGAACTTGGAGGTCAGAGAAACTACTGGGGCCCTTGTTTACCAGGGCTGTCCCAGAGCCGGGTCCTCCTCCTTTCCCACAGGAACATACTATAAATGGACAGGACACCAGCTGGAGGCGCCTGAAACAGTCTCGGATTTCACAAACCAAGCAGTCTGCTCCAGATGCGGGTGGGAATTCTGGGGGGTCCCAGAATCTTGCCATAAATAGCCCAGCCCTGAGGCTTTCTTGCCACTCTAATTTCTGTCTGAGTCACTTGACCAGGCAGGGTGGGGCAGCCAACTCCTGTAGCCTAAGAGCTGAGGACAGGACTGTGGCCCTGTGGCCAACATTTCTGAGACTCCAAGGGCAGGCCTAGCTGGTATCCATATCCTCCCCCTGCCAAGCCCCTGACCCAGGAGGCTAGTAAAAGCAGCGATACATGGGTTCTTTCTTTTTAGGGAAGTGGAGAGAGACACAAACACAGGATGCTCAGCCCTTCCCAGGGGCTCCAACTCTCAGGGACCACCAGCTTTGGCAAAGAGGAAAGCCAGGACCTATCCCTGGCCACAAGATGCCAGAAATAGAATCCACTAGAAAGACAAGGTACAGAGGCAAGGCAGGACTATTTTCCTGGTCCGGTGCAACTGGGATATCATACATGTATGGCAAAGGAGGTATATTTCATTTGATCCAGCACATTATCCAGTACTTGTCCAAATGCTCAATGAATATGCTAAAAAGTCCCAGCTTTGAGTCAGGCTTCCTTGGTTAAAAGGAAGCCTGCCCTCTCAGTTTAAACTGTTTCTTATCTATTCAATTGATGGTCATTTACTTCTGCCTCAAATTACGGGTTATCTACCCATTTGTTTCCTTGGGCATGGATCTCGTGTTCACTATAGTACACTCTCTATCAAGAATAGTAGCAGACTATTATTGTGTACCATGGAGTCAGAGCCAACCCTCTGTCAGCTCAGGGTTTTCAGAGGCAGTAATCACATGGGAGGAAGTTGCCCATCCTTTTTCTGCAGAGCAGCTGGTGGCCTTGCACCATGTGCCTCTGGGATTGTAGCCCAGCTTCTTGCCACTAGGACACCAAAGTACCAGGTTAGGGATCACCAAATTAAAGCATTTTAAATAAACAAACATTGAGGACTTGAAGCTTCTCAGCTTAGAGAGAGAATACTGAATATGAGCTCTGGAGTCTTAGGTTTAACTACTTTGCTGGTGACCTTGGACAAGTGACTAACCTCTGTGAGCTTCTATTTCCTCACTT